AAAATTACGTTACATTTCTTTCTGTACTAGCTTACAAGGCAAAAATGAGTATGAACATATAAGGGAAATAGAAAAGGTTTCAAGAGGACTGTCTGAAACTTCCTGCCATGAACTTTTATGTGGTCATCTGTGTGATTTTATATGGGTAGACAATCTGGAGTTCAAAAAACCATTGACACATCCTGTGCAAATTTGTGAAATTCCAGATATTGTTTTGTGGATAAAACTGAAAACTTTGAATACTTTTTTGAGTACTTTTCCCTTTGTAAAAGGATTCTCTGCTGGGTCCAGCATTCAGCTCTCATTTTCTACTGTTCTTGGGCCAAAACTGTACTTTTCTCAGAGGGAGCTTTTCTCTCTCCTGTCTGTTGAAGAATTTCTCTTCTGCAGACACAATTAACTATTCATGGGCATGGAGCCTTGCATTTGCCCCTGCCCAAATTCCAGGAGAGCAGCCCTAATCTCTAGGTTAAGAAAATCAGCTCCCATACACCTCAAAAATCTTGACACAATGTGAAGCAGGAGAGATTAAAGACTACCTGGGCACTGCAGTGGTCGGAAATCTCTTCACTGAGGTGGGAGATCTGCTGTCAATCCCCTGCTCTGATGGAGATTTGCTTCTAAAAAAGATGCTGACACCTTTTCCTGGCTCCTCTGAAACCAGCTCTGTTGGATCAGGGATGAATTTAGAGCAGAAACTCCACCACCACACAGCACTTATATATGTATTTTAGAATACTAACCACAGTCTACTAAATGGACTTGAATATAAATGAACTGTCACTATGGGAGAATAGTTGAAATCATCTTGGATGTACAGATAATATTGTCTCAACTGTGAACTCTGCTTTAGAATCTCATTTCAGCCTCTACCTAAAAATCTATATGTCAAAAGAAAATATCCTGGGTGCCATCTACAAACTATAACATGACACAAAAAAGCCATCTTTCTGTATGATAGAGCTACTTCTAATTTTCCCATTAGACCAAACGACACCATAAAGAATATCTGCCAACAACATGATATAAAACCACACCATGCATCATGAAAAATAATTGCAATTCAATTACTCCTGAATTATACAACCGCCAGCTAGGTGCAATAAAGACAAAAGCTTTAGAACATATGATAAACTGCTTAGCATAGATAATTAGATATGTTTGAACAAAATCCCCAAAATAAAACATGTGCAGTTTGAAGGAACAGGGTAATCATGCCAAAATAATTCTCATTTATAGTAAAGGTTTGAGGATCAGCAATTTTAAAACCATCTCCCTGAAAAAAAAATTATCAAAATAAATTAGGACTCATAGAGTGTAAAGTAAATTTCTCACTCAGAGAGGTCATGCCCTGCAACTGGACAAGAAACTTTTTTCTTCTTGCTTTTTCCATCTTGCTTGGAGTCTACTTTGCCAAATATAAAACTATTTTATTTTTAGTAGATTTGCTAACATAACAGATTTCATGAATTGTTTTTCTCAAACTCATGATGACTACATTTCAGTTTCTTAATTGACCTTTTACGTGCTCCACAAGCACTTGGGGTTTGCAATATTCATTCTTCTGGTATGTAGTCAGACAAATACTAGGCAGCATTTTTACTGATGCTGATGAAGCTTCTCAGAAGCATCTGATATGGTTTTGAAATTCTGGGAACTCCAAAAGAAGAACTGCCATAATCTGTCACAGTTCTCTCTCAGGGCAGAGTACTCTGAGACTCCAGTGACAGACAGTGCAGAAATCACTGAAATCGTTGTCTGAGGTAACAATTCCAACAAAAGAAGTTTCATTATTCACCTGTGAAAGAAATGGGAGATGTAGGGCATAGGAATTAACACATTGTCCAACATGATACCTAAAGATTAAAAAAAGGGATCCAAAAAAAGCCCCCCAAAATTATTAGAAAAATATAAAGTTCAGCCCAGAAGCTAAATTGTTTTGTTTGGGGTGGGTTTTTTTGTGGTTTTTTGGTTTTGTTTTTGTTTGTTTTTTAAGCTATGAACTTTTTGCTCTGCGTTTCTTCTCACTTTTAAATTTTAGTCCTCAAGTCAGTGGTCATTGAGCCAGCTTCTCAAACCATGCAAGTGAATGGGAATCCTGGAGCTAAATAGAAAGATTTGACCCACATAATGTTTTATTTGCCAGTGTCAAAATTCTTGTGTTGCATTGTCAGCCTTGTCCATATCAATTCTGTTTCCACCCTGGATATTTAGCAGGAACCATGGCCACTACTATGAATGATGGGTGACACCTCTCACATGCTCTTTAAAAAAGAGTAAAGCTGAATTAAATTTACTAAAAAATTAGAGAGACTGACCTTTCTAGAGCACAGACAGAGGTCTAAAGCCACTATTACCTTTTAGCTAGAACTATTGTGCTGGACACAATTTCAGTAAATTACAATAAAAACACTGATTATTATTATCCCTTGTCAGAGAAAATTACTAGAAAATTTCAGTACCATCCTGAGCAGCTCAATTCACTCGCCTAATGTTAATATGCAGGGTCCGTATGAGAAGAAGTAACCTTTAACCTGGGCTGGGAGGGCACCAAAGAGCAACTCTTTTATTAACAGCTCTCATGGGCTGACACCTCCATGTGAGAAATAAGTATTTTTATAAGCCTCTCTCCAAGATGTGACTGCCACATTTTCAGATCTTTAAAAAAGATTTATTTAAAAAAAAACCACAAAGTCCTTACTGCCAGACAGAAGTACTGCCAGAAGGGCTGGATTTTGAAATAGCAGCTATTTTATCTGTCCAGTTTCTAGGAGCTTCAGAATATATAAAGCTCTACATATGTTAATGCAAATAATAGGGGTTTTTCATCCGGCTTTATGCAGTTTTATTACCTTGGGTAAGAATAAGCCAATTGAATGCCAGATGATTCAACTAGAATTCACTAGAAAACATGTCAAGTAAATAGACTGCCCACCTATAATTGCTGCCGAAGTGATTAAAAAAGTAAATCAATAAAGATCCTATTGTTACATGAAGCTGCACATTCTCTTGGCACTGCACATGGTAATCATGCACTGATTGATCTGGGACTGTCAGCACCACACCCTTATTGATCACATGCAAAGGCAATTCAAAAGTAATCATGAAAATCACCCAATTCCTGCTTTCTAGGGCATTTATAAGGCTTGGTCAATTATGCCCTTTTCCCAGCTTGTAGCCCCAAATTTGGGTAAATGAAACCACATGGGGACTAAGAGCCATCCCAGCTAGGAACCCTTCTCTCTGAGCTGCTTCCCATGATGTGATTCACTGTGAGCTGCCAGCACCCATGAGAACAGGTAAAATTGGCACTCTGAGGGAAAGCAGAGTATTTTACATCCAAATGTCTATTGGAGCAAGGGTTTATTTTTCCTTATGTATCTGATGTTAAAACACTGTTGCATCTGCTTAAAGAAACAAAATTGCTTAAGGAAAAACTATTTTCCTTATGAACAGTTAGGTAAAAGTAGCTTCATGAAACAGAAGTTATGTGCACCTCTGAGTTAAAATACTTTTTTCTGTCCAGTCTTAATTTGAGATTGGCTTTAAACTTTCATGAAGAAACTAAGCTGAGGTGAACTTGTAACTTCTCTGATTGGTTTGCTCAAAGTAGGATCATTTTGGCTATCATGGGTCAGAAAACAAAAGTGGTTCTTGGCATAAGTCACAGCTGTTTTCATCTCCAATTGAATGTCTGAAAACTGTGAGCTTTTTGCTGTGAGTTCTTGCTTTAGACTTGTAATAGGCTAAAATATATTTAATTTAAGGAAGCAAGCTATTATTACTTATATTTTAAGCTTCAGAGTTTTTAGGCTTTGTGTTGGAATCACAGTTGAGGCATTTTTTTGTTTCTTCTAGGTAACCTTGGAATCTTTATTCATGCTGGTTATATACTATTGTGCTTCTATTTTGTGATGTCTCATATTCTAAACTGAAGAGGCCAAATTTGAGTAGCTATAAGGACAGATGGAAGGAAAGAGCAGAACCCATGTTTCAAAAAATGCCATCAGAAACACTGAGAGCTCTGTTCAGAGGAGCTGACCTGGTGTTCCATTTCCTTGTGACTTGTGCATGCATTTACATTTGCACAAGTCAGATGTGGGATGCTTCCAGCTGTAGGTGGCAGCATTTTGATCAGTAATTAGTGATCTTAATGAGCTCCACAAAATGGAGAAGTTGACCTGGGAAATCAGCAGACTTTGCTGTGGATAAAGTAGCAGGAACTTCATAAAGCACTGTGAGTTTGGCTCTTCCTAATTTCCTTTCAAGGCTGTAATAGCTTTTGTTTGATATGAAAGAAAACATAAAACATTTCCTGTGCCACTGCCCTTTCTGGTGTATGGTACCTATAGGGGAGAATCTGCCTTAGGAAACAGTTTTGGGCTAGGCTGTTTTTAGGTTCCTCTTTTTCCTTTTGATTATAAATTCAACTGACTTGATTTTAAAACTTGTTTTTCTAACTTAAACCTAGTAGCATCTCTTATTTTTATAATTACCTTTATCTGAATTTCAACCAGAAAGAGAAAGAAATAGCACAATCATTTGATAATGTTAACCTTAAAAAAAAAAAAAACCTTGTGTTTATCTACTTGATGTTTTTCACTTGTTGCCTAATTAAAGTATTGGATGGTTTTAACCAAATTATTTTCTCAATCTGTTATTTGAATTCTGCTGAAAATGTTAGCTTTCATGTGTTTAAACCTTTATCTTTAACATACAGATTGAGTCTAGCATACAGTATTGGATTCACATAATTTAATAGGTAATATAATTCTGGGGAAAAAAATCCCTTTCACCCCCAAGTGAACTAATTAAATAAACTAGTTAACTTCCTAGTGTTGCTGTGTTCAGAAGCTGAAGCGTTCATGTAGTTCTTTGATTTTTTTTTGTTTGTTTATTGGAGTTTTTTTTAATATTCTTTGATCCTATGTGTAATATCTCAAAAGTGACAGGTGCCCTAAGAAATTGTAGTAGCAGAGTGTGGAATTCAAAGCGAGACTCTTACCAGTCTGCTAATGACAGTGGAGGAGCACAGAGGTGTACCTGTAACTCAAGCTGATCTACTAAAAAAAAAATTTAAAAAAAAATAAAAACTAAAAAGGCAGGCATGCCTGATGCAGACACGCAGGAGAAGGGATTTGTGAACCACATGGCTGACAAGGAGCAACGAGCTGGGAAGGAGCCTGAAGGTGAGAAGAAGCTGCACGAGGCTGTGTGCGTGCTGCTGGTGGAGCTGTGCGAGCGGTTCACCTTCTTCGGCATCGTCTGCAACATGATCCTCTTCTGCACTGCCAGGCTGGGCTACCCCAGCCACCAGGCTGCCATGGTCAACATGTGCTTTGTGGGCACCTCCACGCTCACCCCAGTGCTGGTGGGCTGGCTGGCAGAGTACCTGGTAGGGAGGACCAAGCTGGTGTGCATCTGCATGTTCCTGCACTTCCTAGGTGGGTGACTGCGCTGTGTTTTACCGGTTCTCTTGTAAAAATGTGCTCTTGAGCAGGTGTTGGGCATCTCCTCTAACAGCTGGTAACTCAGCTCCTCCTCTGCAAAATGCACTGCAGTGTTGTCACCTTTGCAGCTTTCAGTGAGACAAAGCAGAGTTTGTGTGTGCATCTTGTGTAGCTGGTGCACAACTTGGCTGCTCTGAGGTGGGTCAGCGGATGGGACAGTAAGGATGCTCAACTCTTAAAGTTGGTCCCTAAGGTTATCAGTGTTTGGCACAAGAGCCAGGCTTCAGTCAGAGAGAGAATTCTAACTCCTAACTGCTTTCCTGCTGTTAGGAGTAAGATAATATGTAAAGGTACAAAGGACTTTTGTATTTGGACAAGAGGAAAAGTATTTAAGAACACACTAGTATAAACAAACTTTGCCTTAAGTATCCTAACACCTGCACTGAGGGCCTGCCTGTGGTTGGCACATTCTGAACCTTCCCTGAGTATTATTTTGAGTACTTTTTACAGAAAAAGCACTGCTCAAACAAAATCCACCGGTTCTGTAGCAGCTAGGGCATCTCCCATGCACTATTTTGGCCTCCCACTGTAGGGCATCTCCCAGCACAACCTGTCAAGTTAAATCAAGTTGATAGAAATGCTTCTTGCTTGAACCAGTTGTTGAGCAAGTCTGATTTCTACAACAGCCAGCCATATTGTTATTTAGACATGCAACAAAGAAAGTTAAAAAAAAAAAATCTGAACATTCCTGAAATGTTCTTGAGCTGATTGCAAAACCATTATTCAAGCAGTCTGGAAAAGTGATAGCTGTTGTGTTCCACTGTTTCTCCCCTGGTGTTCTGGTTTAAATCTCTTTCTGCCACCTGTCCTTTCAGTGTTTTTCTTAAAGTAGAAGATTGGAGACACAAACACAATTTGATGGATTTGGGTATTGTTTTAACTAGAGCATTTCTTCCTTTGGAGATAAATCATTAAACATTCCTGATATATAAAATTCAGTACACAGTCATAGGAGTGGCTAATAGTGGTGTTGTTGAAACACCAATATATTTTTAGCTTAGTCTCCATTAAAACTTGGAAAATCTGCAGCTGACTAAATCTGAAAGACTTGCTTGCAGACTAGAAGAGGCAAATGCAATTCATGGCTTTCATTCATTCATGCAATTCAGTGCATCTATAGCTAAATTTTCTGAAAATTGTATTTTCTAAGAAGCTGATGCAGAAAAAAAGATTTTTCCTACAAAAGTCTTGAGGATTTATTTCCTAAATTATGATTCCTATTACAGTTCTGGGATTTTAGAAGGAAAAAACAAAAGCTGCACTCCACTATGGGATGTTTTGTGGGGTTTTTTGGTTAATTTGTGGTTCAGTAGATAGAAGAACCTGAATCCTTGCAAGCACTTGAGAAGAGGTTTGGTTTCTCAGACGTCCAGAGTGATATTGCTTTACATAACAACAACCAAAAATTTCTACCTCTCTACAGGATGTGCCTCTACACTCTTCTGTTGTTTATCTTTGATTTTCAATCTCTTTTCATACCTGCATAGAACATACCTGCTCTAAAAAATTCAAATCTTATTCATCTGGTTCCAATTCCCTTCCAATGACCATTTCCTTTCCATTCCAGGCACAGCACTGTTACCTGTGGTGTCATTCCCCTTCGAAGACGTTCACATCGACAGACGACACGTCCTCCTCACCCTGCCCAAAAGGGAGCAGAAAATCGTGTTCTACTTTGCACTCCTCACAGCCAGCCTGGGAATAGGAGGAATAAGAGCCATTGTGTGCCCTCTGAGTGCCTACAGCCTGGAGGACTGTGGCCCAAAGGAGCTGCTTTCATTTTTCAACTGGTTGGTAATTTAGTGTTGGCTAAATATCTGTCGGGAGTGGTAGAGCATTGCCTTGAAATTCAAAGATTTTGTGGATGGCAGGTTTCATGTTCTGTTTTTAATGGCAAAACTTTGAGGTTTTGGGAGAGTTTCCAAGAGTTAAAACACTTCCTGACTTCTTCCTTTTGCTCGTAGATGATAATCTATTTTGGACACCTAAAGAAGTACTCAGAGTTTTCAGGATTGAACAATTTGCCCAAATACTCAAAAGACTTGCTAACCTTTTTTGCTGTTGGAACAACATATTCCATTAGGTTTTATTATCCTAATATAATTATCCTAAAGCCATAGATATGTTATTAGCCTAATAACATATCTATGGCTTTAGGATAATTTGCTGTTGCTCTGTAACAGTGTCAAAATTCAATGATATATTGAGATTTACATCAGAGTAAATTTTTAGCAGTAGACTACTAGTTTGCTGGAAGTCAGGATTGTGAGTTGTCTCATACTAAACTCAGTGCTAGGGATCTGCTGTATTATTTCATCTTTGCTGCTGCCAAGTTCTGGCATCTGATAAATATGGCATTTGTATTTTGGTTGATTTATTTTTTCCCCATTCATAGGAGTAATTGCTCTTAAAATGGTTCTTAAAATCAGGGTTTGGATTTTTTAAAATGTTTTTGGTATGAATGATTTCTTTCTCCATGCATCGGGGAGGTAATTTTTGATGGTTTGTTTGCCTTAATTTTCCCCTTCTGTTGCCCTATAGAGAGTGCCATATTTTCTGGTTAAACCATGCAGTGGGACTCCCCATATTTCTGCTTCAAGGCAAGGTGAAAGAAAGCCCTAAACTGCCCTTTTTTTTTCTCCTTTACATACATGGTTATTAAGATAAAAACTGAGCACATTTGCATATTAACAATACAATGCTGAAGAATCAATGAAGATTGTGGTGAATCAGGTCTCTCTTCCTTTGGGGATGGCTTTCCTGGCTATTCTTTTTACCTTCAATTATGTTAATATCAAGGAGTTTTGAATTAAATCCAAACTTTAGTGAATAAAGTAGCTTTACCAAAGGTGGATGAGACTGTTTAGTTCCTTAGAGCAGATTCTGCCTCCTTGACCTGCCCATAGCAGAGAAGAGGAAACAAAAAATCCTTCCTTTTTACTTTATTCTGAGTTTTAATCCTTAATTAGCAACATCATTTTGATTAAATAAGACTCTGGGGGATTAAGACTGGAGAGCAATCAGTTGTTCTGAAGGATAGCTCTGGAGAGTTTATTGTACTGTGGTCTTAGCCATTCAGAATTGTGTTTAATCAAAGTGACATTTCTCAGTGTTGATTACAAAGGAGATATAATACGAATAAAAAGTTCCCTGGGGGAATCCAAACGGGTCAGTTCTTGGAACTTTGGAAATATCAAGAAAGGCACAAGTGCGTTTCAAAAAAATTTAATTTTTGTACTGGCACCCGAGGAGGGGCTTTGGAATGCAATCTCAAAATTTAGAAAAATGGGAGGTTCATTCTGAGCATTTTTCATCTAATTAAACCCCTCAGAATATAATCACTTTTTCTTGGTAGTCTGTCCTCTCTTGGTGGGTGTTTGTAATGAGATTTAATTTTAAAATTATATAAATTAGAATGGCATACTCTTGATGAGTTTGAGTCTGGTCTTATCAAAGTTCTGTTTAAACAATCAGAATTATTGAATTAAGGAGTGGGTTAAAAGTCCTGGTGTTTACTTGTTTTCTAATTCAATCCTTCAAGAAGATTGCTTGGCACATCTTACAGCATGGTTCCAAGCTGCAGTATGTACTGTGGCTCTGATCTTATAAGTAAGTAGAATATACCAATCCTAAGTGAAGAAGCAACTTGAATTCTGTTGGATTAAATTTTTCTAGGTCCTTCTGCATTTCCAGGGCTAAGGTTACGGACTGGTTCTGTTTTGCAGGAGGATAAATATGTTCTGTCTGTGGGGGCAGAGAATGAGAGCAAAGGTACAGAGAGAATGGGCAGAACTGTATCTTGTCTTACAGACTTGTAAAAAACTGCAGACACTGTGAGACCAATGGTGTTTTCCACCCTCACTTTTCTCTGTTTTGTTTCCACATTTTGCAAATCAATTTCTGTCATTTCCTCAATACTCTTTACTTTGATTTTTTAAAAACTTTTTCTACCTCTTCAGGATTTTCCCCCACTGTTTTTGCAGAGAACTTCACAGTGATACTCAGAAAACTGACCTCCCCCTACCAAGCTGTATAAACATAAACAATACTTTTCAATAAGAACCACCTGGATGTTACTTCTTTAAAGTTTTTCACCACAAATGCATTTCTGTGAAATGTTCTAGTGTTTAATGGGCTTGTAGCACTTAAGTTTGTATCTGCACTGCATTCTTGAAATGAACCCCTCAAGTTGGCTTTTGGCTCTCATTGTGGAGAGGCCTTTCAGGAAGGAGCTCTTCCCTGCAAAACTAGACAGAATATTCAGCTTGATGTTTCTAACTAATCTGCCATGCCCTGGTGTGAGCTCTGAGACTCTTTATGTAATAAAGGCCTGAATACTGATAATCTACAGTCAGTAAAATATGAGCATAGCCCAGAATTCTGGTATGGGTGTTGAGGTTAGTTCATCTTTCTTGTTTTGGCCACAGGGATTGATTAACACATTGGTTGGGTTTTTTTTATTCTTTATTTTGTAAAAGGACAGGAACTTTTCATTTCTGTCATAAAGTATGCTGCTATGCAGCAGTGAAAAATGAAAGTTCTCTTCTGTTTTTCCTGCTCTTCAGGGTTTTCTTTGGATGCTCCTATTTCCAGCCAAACACTCATAGAGTCCTGAAAAATATCAGGACCTTGGGTAGCTCAGGTGCAACTCTGAAAAGTTCAGAAAACAGCCACTGAAGCTTCTGACTTAATAATTGTCAGTTAAGAATTGATTCAAAGCTTTTACACAAGTTCTGGCCAAATGAGTCATGTAATTATATTTTCTAAAAGCTTTAGTTGGATGGGTCAATATTTTTATGTACGAAATCCCTCCAACTGTATCATCGAGTAACATAATTCCAAATCTTTTGTCACCGAGAAGATAATTCCAGATTCATTAGCCCACACACTCAAGTTCAAACAGCATGCATGATGCAGAAGTGGCACTGAACAAGAAAATGAGCTTTTCTTCTTCCAGTAATATGTATTAAGATTTTATAATTGTGTATTTCACCTTTAAATGCAGTTGCTTCCAGACTGTAATCTTTGACACATTGGGATGGCACTGCTCAATAATTGTGCTCTTTTCAGGGGTTCCAAACTGCAGTAGGCCTGCCACTAGTGGAATGCCATCTGCTTCCAGGAGTGTGTGATTTATCCTTTGGATGTCTTCTGTGATTAGGAGGGGCTCAGTACTTACTTGGGAAACACCTCTACTACAAATTACAGTCTCAGAGAAAATTATGGTGGGGAAACTCCTTATCTAGATATTCCAGAAGCCAACAAAAATTCAAGCTGAGCCTTGCAACTAATAACTGATAAATCAAATTTTAATATTTCTTGCATTTTTTAACATTTAATATTTCTTAACCAAAGGGTGGTGGCATTAAGACATTTCTCTCTTAATCTTGAAGCACAGGATTGGATGATATTTCATACACAGAACTTGTTACCAGATATTAAATGTGTAAATGGTAAATGTTGATGTATTTAATTAATGTCACCCACAAGAATATTTCCAGTACCAGACTGATAATTTGTTCAGCTCTGCTGCCTTAGTACACTTACTTTAATCACATACCTCTTGGAGCTGAGACATTTGAGTGAAAATCTGTTTTAATTGCTGTGCTAATGTGTGCATGGTACTGATGCTGTCCATGATTACTATACTTAACCATGCCTTTAATTGGATGTTTTAATCTTCTGTAAAAGCTTTTATATTATTCAGCCTCTCCACTTTTCTCTCCCTTGTCTGTGTGCTCTAGGTTCCACTGGCTGGTTAACTTGAATTCAGCAGTGGTCTTTGTCAGCATTTCTTACATCCAGCAGTCCGTGGCCAGGAACCTTGGCTTTCTTATCCCATTTGTGTCTGGGCTTATGGCTATGATCACAATTCACATGGTTCGGGGTGAAATGATTTACAAACCCAAAGCAGGTAAGAGGCAGCTCTGTCTCAGGAAGCATCTTCAGAGATTGCTTTCACAGAAGAAATCAATATCTAAACTATTTCTTCTATAACTTTGTTGGGTGGTAGATCCTTGGGGTTTAGCCCTCCAAAATCTGCCTGTGAGAAATTCTGTCCATTATCTGGAGATTCTGGGTAGGCTGTAAAAGTTGGAAACAGTCTCTGGTAAACTCATGGTTGTTTTCTGTCATGTCAGGGCGTGTACCTCTGCCTGTGCAGGAAGAGGTGTAATATGCCTGCTGTTGGTGAAACTGATCTTGTCATGTTTTGTTCAACCTTTTATCTGCCCAACCCCTCATATTCCAAAGGAAAGGAGAAGGCCATGACAATCTTGGAGACCAGGTCAGATGAGCCAGGACACGGCTGAGCTGCTGCTTTATTGACTCTCTGCTGGGCTCATCATGGGGCACTCAGTGCATCTTCTGGGTTCAAACCCTTGCAGAGCAGTAGCACCCCATCACTGCTTCTTATTCTCTTTTTGTGACTATCCAGTCTCCAGTGCAAAGCAAAACAACATTTCCCTAACTTAAATCTTATTACAAGCTGTGCCAATGAATTGAGCTGGTACCAAATTTCCTGTTATCTTTTATTTACTTCTGAAACTAACTCTGCTTTGAGAAGAACCCCAAATCCCACTTATTTTTGTGGTTAGCTTCTTAGTCAATAAAGAAAGAAGCTTCTTAGCTTCTTTCACTCTGGAATTCTGCATTATTTTTTTTTCTTTTAGTCTTCAGATTTGCTCTTAAAATAATCTAGGCCTGAAACTTGAACATCACTTGCAATGAGTGGTGAGAATAGTTGCCGAGTACAGTCCTGCAGAACAATAAAAACTCTACCAACTCTCTGTTTTCAGGTTTTGATTTGCTATTTCAGATTTGATTTTTATAATGACAACATTCTGCAAGTTAATTCCACACTGTCAGGGAGTTTTAAATATTAGCTTATCTTATAAAATGCCCTTACATAGTTCTTTAAAACAAGTGCTTCCAGTAGGTGCCAATGGATATTTCTAGAAAATAACTTCCACATCAGAGATAGTAGAGAGACATTTTCATTCTGCAATCTTAGTTCATTTTGGGTCTTGGAAAGTATTTATTTATAGACACTCAAATTATTGTAGTGCTTTAGCACTCAGAAAAACATAAAGTGCCACAACCCCCATTTGTATGGATGGCAATTTGCCAAAGGTAAATGAACCTGCATTTCCAAGCCTGAAGCTAATAGTTTTGTGCTCATCCTACTTTTATTTCATCTGAGAAACAAGCTGGCAAACTAACCAGTCAATAAGTTTTAATATGTCAAGTACTAGACTGGAAACTCCTTTTTTTGTCCTGCGTGCTACTTGGAAGACCTGAGATGATTATTCTGGCCTTGAAATTCATCCATGAAAATTCTCTCAAGTCTTCAACTGTTTTTTAAACTCTTTTTCCTTCTCACTGCCCTTCCCTTGCTACCAGACTTCAGCAGGCATTCAGTAAATGGAAAGACAGTATGAATTTCCTTTGTTTTTTACATGCTCAACCAGAGACACATGAGGTGTTGTGTTAAATAACTGGTAATAAAAGGAGGTCTTCTCTGTGGCTGTTGGACAGGATTGCTTCTGTAACAACTGGGTTGAAAGGAGAATTTTTAAAACAAATTCAGGGTTATTACCTTTCCCCTCGCTAAAAAGACATGAAGCTGAATATACCAGCTCGTGCTTTCCCTCCCCAAGTGTTTGGTCTTGGCTGATGTTTATCTTGACAGCAGGTGAAAGCATATCAATGCTCAGAGGCTTCTCTGAGCATTAACTTCTCTGATTGCTCGCAGACAGCTCTCTGCTGACGACCTTTGGGGTGATTCTCAGTGCCCTGAAGATGCGCTGCGTGCGCCAGCGCTACCTCGGCACAGCCGTGCCCAGCTGGCTGGACCACGCCAAGGAGCACCACGGTGGGCACTACAGTGAGACCCAGGTGGAGGGCACAAAGTCACTGGCCAGGCTCTTCCCCTTGTTCACCTTCCAGATTCTCTACAGGACGTGCATCATGCAGGTGGGCACACAGATTTTAAACTAAAATATTGAAATAGGCTCTGGCGCGTGTTTAGCGCAGTCTCTCTAGGTGTGTTTTTTCTCACTGTTGCTTTGCCAGCTGAGCAGCCTTGAAAAGTAGCTCCAATTGCCTAAGAATATACCTTGCTGTTGCCTCTGATCCCCTCAAATAATGAGAATTGACTTGGTCAAGACTCATTAAGAAGCTTGTGTGAATGCTTGATCAGTATCTTTACAAAAAAGATTTATATTTTTTTCTTCATATTATTAAGTTAACAGCTTTCAGTGCCTGTGATTCATATTGATGATATTTTAATTCCTATTCAGAAATCAATTCTTACATCCAATAGGCATTGGAGAGAAGGAACCAATGGAATTTGACTCAGTTCTAAACTTAGATCATTTTGTTTCTGTTTATTCTCCCTTTCACAATTTACATTTCCTTTTGGACATGGAATGTAGGTGAAAATGTTTTTGTGAAGAGCTAGGATTTGGATAATCCTTGAACACTGAACAGACTCAGAGTGGGTAGGGTTGGCTATAACCATTGATGAGAAACCCTATGTGAGCTCAGTTAACTATATATTGATATTTGGACATCTATAAAGCAGTAATATTCTCCCTGGGTTTGAAATCAGTGATCATATTGAAGAGTGTGCAGGACGCTGCAGAAATCCAGAGCTCAGTAAAAACAGACAGATTAAAGAAACCAGTTCTAGGTTGAGTTCTGTCCTGACTGTCCTCTGTGAATTGCTCAAATTAGAATTTCCCAGTCTGTAAAAACAGTGGATTATGGCTCCCTGCTGCACATGAAATTAATTAATCAAGCTTCCTCCAAAAAGTCCCAAACAAACAAAAAACACAACTGAAAAATCTGTAAATCTGTTGGTAGAAGCCATCAGGATTTTGACTTCACACTTTTTTTATAGACTCAACAGCTCTTCTGTATAGCCTCACAGAAGCAGGAGGAATTATTTGCTTTTGTAGGGAGAGTCTTATGAATCTTAATTGTGTACCCAGTTGACTGTCACTGGTTTCCTCGTCTTCTTTCTGTCTTTGGTTTTCAGTTGCCCCAGGTAAAAGGAAATCCTCCATGGGTGCCCTGACTGTGGGTTGCACGAAGCTGGTTCTAAGGCTGTACCCAAATCTTCATTCCCTGTAGCTTTTCAAGTGCTCCTACCTCGAACACACAATCATAAGTCCAAAATCACCCTGTACCTTGCAATTCTAAAATTAAGTCACTCTGCATTTTACTATTTCAAGATTCTGATCTGTTAAACACTGTCTGGGTGAAGTGACTGAAGTTTTGGGTGGAATTACTTAGTATAGTGGCTGATGGCTCTAAATAGGAGTGATCAAACAAACTTTTTGACTGTTGCTTGATTTGTTAAATGTAGGAGAAAATCTCATAAAAGGGAGATGTTATGCTCTGGCAGAGAGCAATCTTGTCATTATCTTCATGAATGCTCACTCCTTTTTTGCCAGCAGGTATTTGGTTTAATGTGACTTCTTCGGAAGGAAAAACTTGGAGAGGTTTCAAATACAGTGAAAATCTTATCCATGGATTGTGGTTTTATCCTTCAATACAGATTCCTTCAGGATATTATCTCCAAACCATGAATTCCAACCTGCACTTTGGTGGATTTTTGTTGCCAGTTGCAGCAATGAATGTGATCAGCATCGTGCCCCTTCTGATTCTTGTTCCTATTTTGGAGTGCATTAACTCCTGGCTCTTTAGCTCCAAGGACACTGGGCATTCTCCAACAATTTACATTGGTATGTGAAAAACACGTGTTTATATACAGCTTTAATATGTTTTCTGGTTTTGAAAGAGAAATTTCAGTGTGATGGATGATCCTAGACATTTATATCTGACTATAAATGTTAACATTGATTTGTTTAGGGATGATGCTCAGAAGTAAAAATGTTTCAAAGAAATTATTGAAAAAAACACAGTCCTTAAACTTAAAACTATTCCCTTTCATAGATACCCTCATTAAACTTCCTACATTTTTTATCTTCCAGTCTGCATTGCAAACCTCAGATGAAAATATTTATAAACTGCTATTTTCTCAGTGTGCTGCTATTAATTCAGTGCCCCATGGCAGACAGCACAGTGAGTACTGACACACACAGAGGTATTAATCTGACTAAATTAGCCTAATTAAGAGTGTTATTAAGTTTTATACAAACCAGAAGCATATAACACAGCAGGTTGCAATTAGCCTAGTTTTTAAAATAACATCTGCATTAAAGCACAAAAAGCACATTCAGATAATCATTTTCCTTTAAACCATGGAAATTTCAAGTTAGTATTAATGTTCTCTCCTGTTATGTTGAACAGCAGTAGAATATATGCAGTGGTTTGTTCTTAATAGGTTCATTTATCAAAATAGCCTCCTGTTAGGGGTGATAAACTACCTGAGGCAGAAAAATACCTGTGAGTACAGGCAATGGCTTCAGATATCCAAGTGTATGACTGCACCTGCAAGTGTGGTAGACCTCTAAGTGCCAATATTTTTGCCAACAGTTAATTAGGTTCTCAATTATTTTCAGCAACAAAATTGGAAGTATAAATAGGCAGTTGGTGTTAAGCCAGCCTATAACTATATTTTAATTCAACTCTTGCAAGAAGAAGAAGAAATTTAAATAGTTTTCTGGAAGTTTTCTGCATGTTAAGAATAGCAGTTTTCAAGGATGAACCATACAGACAACTGAAAGACCTGGTTGCTCTGGGTCTACATAAAAACTGTAATCTGTTACTCTAGTTGTTGGTTTATTCATAAAGGTCCAATAGAGTTTCTAGATAATAGAAAGAACCTTGTCCCAGAATCACCCCTAAATATTACTGAAACAGCTTGTTCTCCTGTAAAATCCAAGCCTCAGTCATTCCAAGACTCTTGTTGTAAAGAGGACTGAAGGGAGAAGAGTAAAGATGAAAACTGTACCTCCAAGGCTCTTGGTTTCTTCTTCTGCCTCTTCAAGTCTTGAAAAAAAAAAAAAAGCTGAAATTTTTGGGCACACAGATGTTCTTTTTTCAGAAATGTATTGGCTTTTAGTAAAGGAAAATGCTCCAAGTTTGTTGCACTGCTAGGAATACTGAACTGCTGGAGGTTTCTTCAGTACCAACATAATTTTTCACTAGGAGAACTCTTGCTTTGGACGACTACAAGAAGCTCCTTGAGGGCTTCATACCTGGCTTTGATAAGGTGCACTGGCCAGAAAACAATGTTGAATTCCCTCCTGTCATCAATTTTCGAGCAATAATTCATTGATATTCTCATTAAGCACTAGAGGAGCCTAAACAGCTTCCAAGGCTCAGGTTAGGCAAGGAGGGTAGGATTTTTAAAGCTGTGAACATACAGGAAAATGGGCTGGAATAAGGGTGTGAGAGTTTGGTGCTGAGGAAGAAACACAGAGGCCTGCAAGAACACAGCAAGGCTAAGACCACTCAACTGTTTGAGTTTTTTATTCTTTTCTAAAAATCATGGACACTGAAAAAAGATAAAGTTTATATGTGTTATAAATATAATATGAAACAAAGGCTGTTGATGTCCAATCTAGTGAGTGAAGCAATTGCCAGTCATGAAGGCTTGGTAAGAAAAATATAGTCTAAGCATTTGAGCCAAAACTGTCAAAAGCAACCAAATTCTCACATTATGGCTTAGAAATGTTGGCAATCAGAAATTTAGTCAAAATCAATGAGAGCTCAAACCATGGGAATTGTAGATAATTCAGGTTCAGAGACTTGCTGGGGAACCTTGTTTCTTTGTGTTTTTCTTTTTTGAGAGGACACAACCATTTCATGCTGCCAAGATCAAGAAATAGAAAATAACGTATTTTAATAGTATCCTCTTTGCAATGGGTGAAGTGTGATGTAGCTATAATTTGGAAGAATTTCCTTTGGTTCTGTTCTTACCCTTTCTCTTTCTCTTGTATTATGTGGAAGGCCATTTGCCTCTTCTTTCTTTTGTCCTTCCTTTTCTCCCTCAATATTAAAAAAAAAAGTGAAAAGTAAAAAGTTCTTCTTTGTGACTTTGGTTTTAAGAGAAGTTTATTCTCTTATTTATTCTGAACTCTGTATGTTTACTGAGCTGGGGTCCTATTGCCATATATACATAGCAAGCACTCTTTATTCACGTTGAAGTGTCCAGAAAAAAATATTTGGGGTGGGGGTAGGAAGCTTCTTTTGCATTTCTTAGGAGTTTTCTGCACTCTAAAGCCAGGATGGTGCTGTAAGAGTGGCCTTGGTGAATGTTCTGTGTCTTCACCCAGTTGTAGGTCACTTATCTGCTGCCCTTTCTGTGGTGGCTGCTGGCTTCTCCGAGATGCACCGCAAGCGCTTCCCCCAGGTGGAGCAGACTCTGTCTGAGGAGCTTTTCCTGGTCTCCTCCATGCCCTGCTTCCACCTGGCTCCTCAGTACATCCTGCTCGGAGTGGCTGAAGCCTTGGTGACTCCCTCCTGTGAGTAAAATCAAATGGGCTAAAGGAAAGGTGTCCTGGTTCTGTATCAGCTGCCTAAAAATAATTACTGTCATCTGATATTTTATCCCTGGCTCTCTTCCACGGGCTTAATGAGCAGATCTGGGCTTTACCTGCTTCAGAGAAGCATAATTTGTCTTGCTGGCCGTAGCTCAGGATGAGCAGTGATGTTCCAGATCAATGGGAAGGGAGCACAGCCCAGTCAGGTCCCTGGGGAGCACAGTTCCCTGTTTGCTCCTGGGGCTGAACCTGCTGCAGGCAGGGTCTGGGCTGGATGAGCTCCTGAGACCCCTTCTGAGCTGATTTTATTGAGATGGAATAAAAACACACCTGAGAGCTGAGCTGTGGTTATGCTCTGGGACCACCTAAATGGCCACAGTCAGAGCAAAGTGAAGCAATTTTGGTTTTTGGGCCCAGCTAATGGAATTATTACATGTTTTTCACTGGCACAGAGAGGTAAATGGGACAGGTTTACCTGGAGAAGGGTGTAGGCAGCTGCAAGGCTTTTGTTAGTGCTGCAATCAGGAGTCATGAGAACATGCCTCCCCAGATCCTCATGTCTTGGCTTGTGACATGGAGCCAGAGATAAACACTCCTGTTTTTAGAGCTCAGCTTGTGCCTGACATCCACACATCATGTAGTCATACTCTTGATTGTGATTCTGAACCTTTTCTGCTTTCCGTAATTTACTTTTCTGTGTCTGCACTGATGTTTTTGAGGCTTGTTTTCTTCTGAGGAGCATGCAGAGTGCTTACCAGTGTTTTACCTTGCAGAGCTTTTAAAATAAAAAAAAAAAGTTAGTATTATAAAAATAATCTCAGCAACATTAACTTAAAGACACAGGTAAAGTAATTGCCTGGCTGATCTCTGCAGGCATTTAATTCTGTGGGTTGAGTGTCTCTTGTTCCAGTACAACCCCTGAAATGTTCAGGTTTGTGTTTAAGAGCAGGAAATAACTTCAGTGTCTCAGCTTCATTCTTACACTCTGAGACTACTGAGAGCTGTGGGTCACAGGCTGTCATTAAAAAGGTAATTTTCCCTAGTTTTAAATACTTAGCACTTTCATAATGCCTCTTCATCTGATAGCTCTCAAGTACTTAACTGAGACAGGTTTCTAGGCAGGTAATTTGGTTTCTAGGTTACAGGCTAAGTGTAACTGAAAACTGTGACCTTCTCTGTTTAGCTTAACAAAAAAAAAGGTTAGGAGGTGACTTGCTTACAGTCTTCTCATGCAAAAGCAGGGGAAGAATACTGCTGGTAGAAAAAGGCCTTTTAATCTGGCACACTGGGACACAACTGAGTCCAGTGACCAGAAGATTACATTAGCCTTTAAGAAAGAAATAAAACTCCATTTTAGGGCTTGTCTTCCTTTTTTTTTTTTTTTTTAAGGCCTTTTTTAAAGGATTGTGGTTATAATTTCTTAGGAAGAAAAGCTGTCCTTCCCCATTTAAATAGGGATTAAGCATTGTGCTTACAGCTGCAGTGAGAGGTGTGACTTAAGAACCCAGATAAATGGGACTGAGTCTAAAGACTTGCAGGTAAAAAGCTAAAGGGAGGTGCCTAAAATAAGATATTGCTGTAGCTGATGGGGAAGGAGGTCTGCATTCTTGGTAAAATTTGGTCACAGAGTGTCTTGGCTGTGCAGGCAGGGCAAGCCAGCTCTCTGCAGTCTGAGAATTCCAGCTGCTGATGGAGAGGAGCCTGCTTATCCCCCAGGTCTTGCACTGGCTGAGATTCACTCAACCATCTCCAGCCTCTGCATTCAGGCTTCTGACCTGAGCTCTGCCTTTCCACTTCAGTTTGGCTCCCAAACAGCAATTCAGTTCATTCAGTGAATCTCCATGGATGTCAGTGACAGCCCAGACCCTCACAGAGCTGTCCCACCTTTCCTAACCATTTACTGCCTTTCTTATGCAGAAGGTCAAATTTAGACATTATAATAATTTACTGGACCTGAAAGTACATGATCCAAGCTGAGGAGGGGAATGCTCACTCTCTTAAGCAGAGGGAAGGAAGGAGATAGCTCATTTGTGAAGAGCTTGGTTAGAGATGTTAGGTTTGGCACACTGAGCTCTCTGTTTTCATTAGGACCTCTCTCACTGAGGCTGCTCAGCCTGGGAAAGAGAAGGCTTCAAGGTGACTTAATTGTGTCATTTCAGTACTTGACAAGAGCCTACAAGAGAGATGGAGATTATTTACAAGGGCATGTAGTGACAGGACACAGGGGAGCAGCTTCAGACTGAGAGCAGGTTTAGACTGGATATCAGCAGGAAATTCTTTACCGTGAGGGTGCAGAGGCTCTGCCCAGGTTACCCAGAGAAGCTGTGACTCTCCCATCCCTGGCAGTGTCCCAGGCCAGGCTGGGCTCTCAGCAGCCTTGTTTAGTGGAAGGTGCCCTTCCCCAGAGCAGTGAGTTTGGAACTGGAGGATTTTAAAGTCCCTCCCAACCCAATCTATTCTATAATTTGGTCCCTGACACTTAAAACTGTGTTTAAAAAATATATTTCATTATCTTGTTGATAGCAGTTTTGAATAATCTGCTTCAGGTGGCAAGAGCATCTCTTAGAATAATACCTGCCACTAAGGAAGTCTGAAAAATAAAATCAGACAATGGTATTGCTCTCCTCCACAGTGCCACAAAGTTCTCAGTAGCCTCTGACAGGCTGAATTTGTAACCCCAGCTTGGTTTAAAGCAGGAAAGCCACAACTCTGTTAGTTAGAGGATATATTGGGGATGGCTTTGCCCACCAATAAATTGCAATGGTCTCCAGGGGGAAATGCAGCAGCTGTTCAACAGCTCCCAGCAGCACCGTGGGGAAAGGGAGGAGGGGAGCGGGCTATTGAAACAGCAGGGGTAATTTAGGTAACTGGGATGCAATTACCCAGGCTGAATTTGACCAAGATGCATGTTTTGCACCTCTGCTTTTAGAAGGGAGGAACAACCAGAAACTTTTAAGTCTTTTAGGGTCTCCAGTTAGCTGTACAGTGCTTCAGGCTGTTGCATCTACAGATGGTGACCCAGGCTCACCTGCTTTCTCTTGCCCTCAGGCTTCTAGTTCCTATTGTGAGTTAGGAAGAAAACACTGTCCGTGGTGTTTTTTTTTCTTTCACACGTTTTCAAAGCTCTCATTGGACATCCAAATTAAGAATGGTGAAAGATGGTGAGAGCAGAGTTTCATTTGTATCCAGAGGTGCTTCAGGCAACTCAGCATCCAAACAGGACCCTCTGCTGGCAAATTTTCAAACTGGTCATTCTGATTCAACAAATTGAATCTGAGGTCATTCTGATTCAACAAATAAGAGAGAGAGGGAGAAAAGGTGTGGAGGAGAACTCAAGGAGTGAAATTAGGAAAGAAAAGTTTTTGGTGGTAGTGAGAATTGCACAAAAAAGAACAGCTATCATAAAGCCTTGCTGTTACAGCCAAATTACAGCTGGTGGGATTATTTATAGGCATCCATGCTACAGCAGCATGCTGCAGCTTCCCCTCTCCACCAAAGCTGTTGCTGCTTCTGGTTCAGCCTTCTGGCAAGAAAGTGAGGGATGAGGTCTCAAAAATGAGCCAGTGAGCCTGGGGATTGCACTCCAGGGAACAGGAGCATTGTCCAACCTCAAGGTAAAGCAAGCTAACTGTCCAAATTAAGGCAGAGCTCTAGATTTTGGAGTATTTACCAGTGGCTCTGCTGCACTGGCTCTGAGATAGGAGGTCCTGTTGTTCTGCAGTTAAATATCCCATCCTTTGTCTTCATGCTTTGCTGGCTGTGGTGGTGTTTCTCTGCTCTTGCTCATGCCTGAGGTTTTGAAAGGTGCAAGCAAAAGTCTTGTAAAAGATGGTAAAAGTTACCAAAAGTTTTACAAAAGTCTTGTAAAAAGGGTAAAAGATGTTTTTACACTTGTGGAATATGGAGAGCTGTGTGTGGGTAGTTTATTACAGGTATTCATTTAAGCAGTTTAGATAATGCTTTGTTACAGGGCACATATTGACATGTTATAGGGTACACCTGATTCCACTTCTGCAGCAAGTACATTCTCTGCATAAAATATGGAAATTCACTAATAGAGATGCTTTGAAATTTTTGTATTATCTATGCTCCTCCATCTTTCGTTTTCTTATTTTTTCCTCCTTTTTTTTTTTTTTTTAACTTTTAACTGTTTCTGATTCCTTCCAAAGGTTCCTTACTTTCATTCTGGCTCGTGCCTGCAGGAATGAGAGGGATTTCCATGCACTTTTTAGCTCTCTTTAATGGAGCTGGCTGCTTTGTGGGAGCTCTCATTGTTCAGACAGCCCACGCAGGCACTCAAGGTAAGAGTATGCTCATGGTGGGTGCTCCTGAGCAGTTTTCTAATATTATTGATTTGGAGAATCAGGCAGCAGAATTAAAAGGGATGCCAAAGTTTTATTGATTTGCTCTCACAATTAAGATGGAATTAAGATAGGAAATAGCCTTCCAGCTGTATTCATCCAATTTTAATGAGTCATCTTAGTTTTGATAGTCGGAGTAATTAGAGGATGGCATCTTGCAGGAAGTCCTCCTGTCCAATCTCTGTACTTCTGTTCTGGAAGACTGAAAATAAATTGGCTAGGAATCACCTTTTTGTGTTCATGAAGAGGTACATTCGTGTTGTTCACACTTACATGGAAGCCTCTGGCCTTGAGAGCAAGATCTGGACTTTAAGGAATGGGGGAAATTCCTTTCTGCCTGTCCCAGGATTGAGGTTTCAGGGCTGAGGGTTTCAAAGCTGTGTGGGGAATTCACTCTCCTGGAGGCACTGGTTCCTCTGCCCTTGCCCAGATTTTGGAACAGCCAGGTGCTGTGAAAATACTGTCTCCCTGTGGGCTTGTCCTTCTGCAATTCCCACAAATCTTCCTGTTTCAAAAGGAATTTACTGCAGGTTCAACCCATTGAGGTGCATTTAGTGGAAGCTCTGAACTTCTTGTTCCTAGGTTGCTGGCTTTCAAAATCAGTCAGGAATTTCTTAGTCATTTTTCCTTTGCTGCTGAATCTTTGAATATAGAAAAGACTTGTTCCACAAGGAAATTTAACAAGGAAATCACTTGAGTCCTTGAACTGAGAGACAGGCCTCCCAAATTTGTTCACAAATTTGAAATAGTCCCGCTGCTGAAGGAATATTTGTGAAGTTGCTATTGCCAAGCTCTGGTGGAACAGTCACAGAACTTTTAATTAGAGACCACAATTGTTGGCCCTAATGCATGACACCACTGCAATTAGGGCAAGATTTTGTAACTGTTTAGGGTTAAAGTTTTGGGTTCTTCTCTTTCCTTTCTTCCTTTCCTTCTCTTTCTTCTACAGAGAATCATGTAATTTAAAACCAAGCAGAAATGGGTGCTTTGAAAGTGTGACAAGAAATTTTTATTCCGACTCACAAGATCTGAACAAACAAATGATGCTCTGACACGCAGTCCTGTTTTTAAGTTAAAAATTCAATTAAAATTTTATTACAAGGTATAAAGCATCACCTGGAGATGGGTAAAAAACAGAAATGTCTGCACAAATGAATCAGGCAAAGAACTATTAAGCCCCAAGCCATCCACTGTGGAGAACTGAGCTCCTTGAATATCCCTTGATGGAAAAGGTTGTTTTTCATTATTGTGAGTTCAGTGTAATATGGGTGAAATTAAACAAACATTTTAAGATAGACTGTCTTGCTGAATTTTTCTCTTCCCCCCTTCAAAGTATCAAAACTATTAATTTTTATGAAACTGAACTATTTAGTAAAACTGACATTTTACTGAAATTTAACTTTGGAAATTAAATAATTGCAAAATTATCAAGCATAATGTCAGCGCCAAAATATTTTGCCTGTGTTGTGTCGCTACTATGTAATTAATTTCTTTACTGAGTATTTTTGTACTCTGCGGTAGAGGAAACCAATTTTTGCATTTGATTTGCAATTCAGTTGGTTTTTATCTGGTTTTCTGTAAAGGTGATTAATCCTTTTTTTGTGAACTCATTTAATTGATTCATAAAAAGTTTTTACTTGCCAGAAATACTGTTTTAACAGAGATGGTGAGACCACGAAGGCTGAGCTCTAACTTCTCCACAGGCTGCAGTTGCCACATCCTTTTGTTCAGGATTCTTGAGCAAACTGAAAAGTTTGCTGGCTAAAATATTCCTCACTCTTAGAAAGTTGGGTGGCAAACTTCTCACCTTTAGCTTTTCTTTTCTTTTTTTATTTTTCTTTTTCCAAAGCTGTCTTTGTGTAACTTTGTCAGACCTGCTGTTCCTGTGGGTGGAATTGACTGCACCATTATCCTGAGCAAAAGTCACTCTGGAATTTCCAAGGGAATCGGTGACACTCTGTATTCAGATTAAGATGCTGTGATGGGAATGACTGCTGCTAAGCAGGGAAAGTCCTCTGCAAAACTTGAAAAGCTTTAGGGAAAATCAAGTGGAAAATGCTTGGTGATTGCTCTGCTGCTCTAGTTAGGAGAGTGTTAGAGATTACTTTTCCTATTAATATGTAAACAACACATTACTGGGCTCTCACTTTTTATTTTTAAAAATAATTAGGATCTCACTGGGTATCTCTTTCTCAGTGTTCCCTGCTTGAATAAGATTAATAATTCCAAATTACCACACAATTCACAGCTTGCAAGTGATGGTGATGTTCTGTGAGTTCATTTGTGTTCTAACATTCCTCTGCTCATCCCAGGCTCTTCTCCTGCTGACTCCTGGATCTCACAGTAGGTTTAGGATCAGAATTTTGGAGGTGGGGATATTATAACAAAACAAAAAATGCATTTTAGTCTCCCTTTTGGTTTTCCCCTAATTTGGTAGGAAATGTTATACGCACAATTTTTATAATGGACAGCTACTTACAGTGGACTTTGGTGCTCATTACAATCATATCAAACCCACTAGGTTTTAATAAATTTAAAAAAAATCTTTTGCTTTTATCTTTTGCTTTTTTCAATTTATTGAAACCTTGTGGCTGCCTAATGAACCCACTAAAGATGGCTGCTGTAGGGTACAAATTTGTGTCTTCTCAAGGAAAATTAAATTCCAATGACAAATTAAAATTTTTACTTTTTTTTTCAGATCTGTTTAAAGAGCTTGTAAATATTCAGTGTCTGGACAATTTATGAGCTGGGAGTAAAGCAAACCAACCAAAACTATTTTTTTTCTTCCTAAAAAAAAGCTCAGCTAATTTACTAATTTTTTAGTTTAATATAACTTTATATTGGAAGAGCTAGTTCTTTCTCTTTTGCAGCAAGAAAGGATGGTGTTGATGAAATGGTTCTGTGAGATTTAACAAGGTTTAGTGAGTGATTCCTGGGCTATGGATGCTTTTGTCTTGTCCCACGATTCTTGTTTCACTGAAACCTGAGCCAAGACTATTTCTGGTTCTCCCATCTCCAGCACTGAGACCATGTTTTCCCATGTTCCTGCAGCGAAAGTAGATCCTCCACTGTGTATTTTGAAGTGTTGAAGCACAGAGGGTGTTGACAAAATTTAAACATTTTTATATCCTATTTTATGCCACTAGTTTAGAATTTTATTTGGGGTTTTATTGGCAGAGTTGATCGGATATCAGTCACAGTCAAAGCTGCATTAATCATTTTTAACGCATCTATGGAGGATGGTGTGAATATGATAAAATAAGACTTTTTTTAAAAAATCTGACGAGTGCAAACAGATGATGGGTGACAGTGATATTTTCAGTACAAGCTGGGAAACTGCTTTCTTTTGGATCCCTTACCTCTCCTAACATTTTAACGGAAGAAGATGCAAGACAAAACCTGTCCTCTTATGCCAATCATTTCAGAATACATTTCTCTAAAAATATTAATATAAATATGTAAGAAAGAAATAAAAATAAAAAAGGTCAGAGGAAGGAAGCTGTCCCAGACACAGTTTTCCTGCTTTTATTTAGAGAATCACAGGGGGTTTTTGGTTTGAGTTTGGGTTTTTTGGTTCTTTTTATCATTTTAGTCTTGTGTGATTCTAAAATACCAAAGATGATAAAGCTAAAGGATATTTCTTGCAGTCCAGATGGTGGTGGCCACTGGTGCTTACTTAGCTAATAGGGATTAGAGGCAGAGTGAGACTTTAATTTGGATATGATCAAACACTAAATGTATGCCCACTAAGTTGATGAAATGAAGGAAGGCAATACAAACCTTGTTAAAATATTAATTAATTTTGTTTTTATAATCCTAGCATAGGTTGCAGGATAGCTGCAAAAATGCAGGAATGGTACAGGATAGAGTAACTTCTGGCATTTGTTTTTTCTTCAAGGTTTTCCCCATAATAAAATAGGATAGTGCAAAAAATCAGCAAAAAATCCTGGATGCCTCCCTGTGCAACTTTCCCTTGAGCTCTCTGAGGGTGCACTGGAGCAGCAGAAATGTTGTGTGCACTAATATTTGTCTAAGACTGGCCCTTTTTAGGTTTTGTTCAATTGGCAGCAGCTCCTTGCTGTCAGTCACCCACCAGAAACAGCCCAGGAAAGTTTTTGTCCATTTCTGCTTCACCTCCACCCCTGCCTGCCTTGGTAGGATCAATTGTTTCCTCTTGGTGTTATTGGTCAATTTGGTAAATTCTTGGTAAATTTTTCCTTCTTCTTGGACTAACCTTGGTATTGTACGTTATTCCTTCTTCTTGGACTGATTGATTTTGATGGAAAATTGATGGGACTCCAAAATGTCAGTGAAAGTTTACCAGGTGCTTTCTTTCCATGATTGCAGAGCAGACTTGAGGAACAGACTCTGCTTAGGCTTCGTTTTCCAACTTGTTCTAAATTTGCCATAAAATACATAAGCAATTCACCTCTAACCAGTAGAGAGTCTATTTAAAATAATGCACCTAAAGGAAACTTTCTGTTTCTTTGTGGTGATTCATGCTTCTAAGTATTCCTATTGTTGGAATGAAAATGGAAATCAGGAGCTTGTTGCAGAAAGTTAATTCCCAGTGAGCAATTATCTGTGTGACAAACCAACCTTGTAATTGCCCCTTCTGTTGGCAATCTCCACAGAAAAGAACAAGATGCACAGAGCCCTCAGGCAGTATCTTTTGGGGAAAAGTGAATTCTTAGCATGTTGCATGCTGAGGCAAGGAAGGGGAAGTGCTGGACCCTTCAATCACAGCAGTGCCCAGGGTGCCCAATTCCAGCAAAACCAAAAACTAGCCCTGATGCTCATGGCTGAGGGTGAAATCCTGAGAGTTTTAACCCCAAAGGCAGTCAGCCTGCAGACAGCTTGTGGGAGGTGTTAGTGGGGTCAGGGTGAGAGCATCTGAAGGGATGAGTGAAGTTCTAGCACTGATGATCCCTGCAAGCAGAGGAGAGGATTCTCTGCAAAGTGAGTACATGCAGATGTAAATATAGTCCAGATTTATCCCCTATTTCATGGGGAGAAAAAAAATTAAAAGGAAAAATAATGAAAGAAAAGAGTGACAAGTAATTTTTTTTTGGCTGTAAGTAGGAAAGGGTTTTATTACTTTTTGCTGCATCCACTGATGAAAATGTATACTGGAAGGATTGTAGTCTGGAAATCTTTGGGACTGCTGCCATCCTTGTTCCTCTGTAGAAGAAGGGACAACAAGCCTTGTTGTCCCTTTCTGAGAGGAAAAGAAAGCCTTGTTCCCAGCTCTTGCTTTGGACAGAGCAGGAGACCAGAGAAAAATTGTGTGTGCTATGGCAGCTGGAACCTCACCATATCCTGTCTGATTTTGTCCCTGCCTGTGCTGTTGATAATTTGGATTTTCCAAGGGTCCTCTGTCATTATCCTGGCCTCACTGTTTAAGCACTGGTGACTCCTAAAAGAATCAGAGGGGAGACAGAGCAAGGATCTTTGACCCATGGCCATGGGAGAAGTGGGAGTGGAATGCAGTGCTTTTCTCTGGTGCCTTTATCAGTGATAACACAGAGAGTGGTGCAAATGGACCTTTGAAACTCAGAAGACACAAAACTGTTTTTATTAACTTTTTAAGTACATATTTTGTGTTCAGTTTCCACTATAAATGCCATTCCATGAGGAAGCTCCTGCAGTTAGCTTAGCCAAGGTGGATAACCCATCAGAGAGTGTGAGCTCTGCTCTGACAAGCTGCAGTGCAGACCCCCATGCATGATTTCTCTTTCATCACATCCTTGTGCTCTGGCTCTGCCTTCCACTGGCCCCTGGGGGATGCAAAATGAAAAACTACCTGATTGTGAATGATGACAGTAAAAGTTTATAAGCTACTAAAATGAAGTTACAGCACCTAGGAGCTCAGTCACTTACAGTGTTGGATGATGGGTTTTTAAAAATGGCTCTGAGATAATGCTGTGAAAGGAAGGGAGCAGGCAGAGGTGTGGTGGTTCTGCTCTGTGATGGGCAAAAATGCAACATGGCATGGAGAGAACTGTGCAGGAGCTTAGGAAAACTGAGGGCACTTGTTCTCTGTCAGTCCCAGGAGAACTAAAGGCAACAGCTCTGAAAAAAAATTGTTTATAGCTCTGAGATGTGAAGGGAAGAGAAAAATGTAAATATATCAGTGTGTGCTTGGCAGGGTGTAATCCTTTGACTGGTGTCTCTCCTGTGCTGTGAAACTGCTCTTTGTCTCTAATTAGAAAAATATTTACAATCTAAGGATGGCAGTCAATGTGCAAAAGTGGCATTAGTGGACAGATCAGAGGATCTGTTAAGGCCATCAGGCTTTTACAATATAGCTGTGGTAAGAAGTCTGGTTTTCCTTCTTTCCCCATTAGCTTATTCAAGGGGTGAATTGCCCCATTCCTGGGATGGGCAGGATTTGATACCAGACTTTCATGCAGGGGAAAGGTGACTTTGGGCACACTGATGCTGCTGTAGCTCAGATCAGGGCTATGCCTTTAATCTAAATCTCCCAATAATCTCTGATTTGCATCTCCTGCTGCAAGGCAAACTAATCCTGCTGCAAATGTCTCCTTCACCAGGCAGCTGGTTCCCACACTTGCTGCATGAAGGTAAATTGGAGAGGTTCTTCTTCTTCTTGGCTTCCTTAATGATGGTGAACACCCTGGGGTTCTGGGCCATTGCACACAGGTACGTGTGAGGAAATGAAAACTTGGTCTTTTGTTTGTAGGTGCATTTAACAATTCTAATAAAATCTGTAGACTAGTGTGTAATAAAGAATTAGTAGTGATAGATCACATGTGGAGAGGTAAAAAAAAAAAAAGGCAACTGATGTAATTAATCTTTAATAGTTAAAGGATCTTAATTCAAAAAGCCCTAAAAAAGAAGGGCATTGTATTCTTACTTTCATCATATTCTTTCATCATATTCTTTATGGAAAGGTGTTAAATTTTTGGCAGGGATTTCAGATGGGAACACAAATAAATTTCTCAATAATACAAGTTTTTAATTACTAAAAATGTCTTTTTGAAATCAATTGTTTCTTTTTTTGAAGAATAAGAATTCTTGAAGCAGGGAGGAAAAAGAGTGAAGACTATTCAGATAAACACTGATTTAGGCAGAGGGGGAAAACAGACTTTAAAATCTGGAATAAGAAAACATACACTAAAATTTCTCTGCAGGAACAAACTATGTTAATAATTAATTTTTTTAAAGACACAGTACAGGTATTATTACCATCAGCACCTAGTTTGATACTTCTCATCCTGAAGTTCTGAAAGGCTCTAGAAAAATACATATTTGCATTTTCCTATTTTTTTAACTGCCTTGAAGTCCAGGACTTGGAAGGCACTGTAACTTAAAGAGTATTATGCAAGTATTTATATATTATATGAAAAGTTATACATAAAAATGGGTGAAGCTAATACTTTAAAGGATTATTATTTTATTTTCCTTCTGTATTTCCCCCAGATACAACAATCTCCATGAGGATTGCACCAATGGAATCAGAGGAAGTTTTCCTGGAGAAAAACTTTTGAAGCATGAAAAAGCCATCAAGCACTATAGTTCTGTCCTGGAACGTTCTCCCATTTTGTCTCCTGTGGAGAAAACCTGATAGAATTTCACCCTGATAAAATTTCACCCTGATAAAATTTCACCCCTAAATTTTGGCGGTTTTTATCCACCAGCTCTCTAAGGATAAGTTACCCCGCGCACTTAAGTGGAACAATGTTCTGGTATTTATGAATTATCTGGTGAATAATAATGTTATTTAGAAGTTAAAAACATAGCAATATTTATAGGATCTGGCCTTAAAGGAGGCTGCACTGTCATAATTCACATGGAGGCCAAGGAGATCTCTGTTTGCCACAGTTGGAGAGAGGCTTTTAATCTTTATATGGAAATAGGTATCCACATCTATTTGTATTTAGGAATGGTTAAAACTTAATAAACATTCTCATTTGTTTGTTTAGCAAATTATTTTGTGACAGTATAATTTACAAGTGATTTTGAAATCTGCTTATTGGCTGGTTAATATTTGCAATGATGGGAATCCTGTGTACTGCTCTTGGCTCTTGCTGCTTTAGTTTCCCTGTCAGTGAAATGGACACAAGCCTTCTTTGCAAATTGCTTTGAGATCTACCAAAATAAAACTAAAAACTTAGCAACCAGACACTAGCCATCAGTCCATAAGGTGTTCCATAAAAAGTTGATGTTGGGGCATCCAGTCTCACTTGGCAGCAACGCTGTGAAATTTGTTGTTCCTGAAGGATGATACGAAGAAAATTGTTAATAGGAGAATGGGAGACTGGAATATATTGGCACCAAAATTACTAATTGCAGCCCAGCTGAAGGGGGGGAAGGGAATCAGGGAAAGAAGATTGGGAAAGGGTAAATGCAGCTGGAGATGTGGGGAGATAGTTATTAGTAAAATGCTTTCCAGTTTGAAGACCTTCAAAGTTAAACACTCCCAAAATTGGCTGATTTTGTTATTGTGAGAGTTAATCTAACCCTTAACATTTATATTTAAAAGTCATAGAACTAAAAATAGTGATGAGAGAAGTGGGGTCTTGATGTGATAAGGAAATATCTCAAACCCAAAAAAACTAAAGAATAGTTCTTTATACTTTGATATCAAGATGTTCATAACGAAGGGGCAGTAAAGTCAAGAGTGCTTGCTAGATATGAGAAATGCTCTACCACAGGAGAAAGCTGCATGAAAAGGATGGAATTCACAGCTTGTAAGCTGAAATTGTGCAAGAGCTGGTAAAAAAAAATCTGAAATCTTTTCTGCACCATTACCCACACTTGATGCTGTAACTTTGGGGTGGGCATTGGGAGAAAAATATAATGAATACATCCCTTCCCAGCAAAGGAGAGATTATTTCTCCCAAAGTGGCTGCATGAGCTGGGGCTGTGAGAGGAGAGGCAGCCAAAGGCTGAAGGATCTCTTCTCTGAGAGCACTGGAAAGTGTGAGACAGTCTAATTTCCTCATATTTGGGTAAGTTTATCCATGACACCTGGCAGTTAGTAGCTTGTAAAGTCTTATTTTGTAAATAATGTTTGTACTGCAATAGACCGAGGTTTAAGCCATGAAAAATATTCATTTCTTTCCTGAGAAATTCCTGAATACTTCACCTTTATCCTTGCAGAAAAGCTACAAAAATGCTGGTTGGAGTCTGCTGACAGGATGGGTACGATTGCTCTCAATGTATTTGAGAGTTATGCACAATAGAACTCTGTAGTAGAAGGGTAAAATTTTAATTTTGGGCAGATAAATATGATTGGACTGTAGATGTTTTATTAACTAATGTAATTTTTTTAATTGCAAAAGTAGCAGTGGCTTGGAACCATTTACACCAATAACAAGAGAACAAGAAACTTAACCCTATTTTAAGGTAAAATATTTTGTCTGCTGCACTCTCAGGCTGAATGGCCTCAAACTTCCCAAGACCATTTTCTTCTTTTTTTTTCTCTCCTCATAAATTGAAACCTGAGAATAGATGGCAGCAGATAACAGAATGCAGCCATTTGAGTTGAATTGTCTTATGAAGATAATTCTGCAAAAACAGAGGATTAGTTAACTCCCTGTATAGGAATTCCTTGGAATGGGTGCTAGGATGAAGAGCTGAGTATTGAATATATTCACAGGGACAGGAGAAATGCTTTTTCTATCAGGCTTAATAAGAAATTTGGCCTTTCAGATGGATGGCAGAACAAAAGGGGGCACTGGATGCTGAATTTGGCCTTAGTTCAGTTGGTGGAGCAGAGGAATCTACATGCAAAAATCTATCAATCCATCAATCAATCTCACTGTTATGACAGAGCAATTTAGCACTCCAAACCAACAGACAGGAATTTTTCTTGAGCTGCAGCATCTAGGACTCCATTCAAAGCTGATGGAATCCTTTGTGCATACAGGGCACTGCCTAAATTGTATAAATCTTGTGCCAGCACACAGTGAAATCAATATAAAAGACTCCAAAGGTTTGGTCTTTGAAGAAAGCTGCTTTTCACTTCTGAAAAATTTAGTGACTTTTTACATTAAAAAAAAAAATGGAGGACAGAAAAAATAAGAATGTGTGTGTGCATATAAAGTTTTGCAACAAAATGTTAGGAGAGCCTGCTTTTGTTCAGCCTTTTGCTGATCTGTGGCAGTTTTCACCAAGCACTCAGATCTGACTGCTTGGGTTTGAGGTCACCTGTTGCCATGCTGGATTGCTTTGCACAAAGTAAATTTAGGATACTCATGTCTTAATCCTCACCATAAAGGTTTACAGTTTTCAAATGCATAGTGGAAAAAGTTGCCTCCTGGATGAGATTAGGAGAGTCAGAAACATCCCAGTTCAGTTTCCTATTTGATTACTGCATTAATTTTCTAACTGTAATTGATTTTCTAACTGTTCTCCCTTGTAATTAGTATGAAGGACTCTGGATTCAGACTTGGCTTGGGAAGAAGTTGCTTTTGTGCAGGTTTTAACTGAGCTTGTGCTGGTTTTAACTGAGTGCTCATCAGAAATCATTACTGGCCTTGAATAGCCAGATGGATTCCTGATTTCTGCTGGTACAGTTTGGGGGTGTCTTTTTAATGGTTAAATGTGTGTTTTGTACTGTATTCATGGACACACCAAAAAAAAAAATAATGCAAGTTCTGTCCCAGTCAAAACCTCAGTTTTGTCAGAGACCACTTCAGTTAAGTCTAAATGCATAGGAGTCCTTTTTTTTTTTCCTTTATTTTTTTATTTTTGGGGTGGGGGTGCTGAAGAAAACTTGATGGAGAGGATTAAGATCTCCATCTGTTAAGTTTGCACTGATTATAAAACACATGCTCCCAGTTGGAACAAGATGCATTAAAAGAGCAATTTCACTTCTACTGCCTAGCACAATGTCACTGAGCACCTGCAATAGTTTAAACATTAAGCATAATTGGCTTTGCTTGACATAAATCTGTAGTTTTGTAAATAAGAGCAGTTGAGTTTCGGTGTAATACCAATTAGCTATAAGGAATGCTTTGTTTGCTGAAGCCTGCAGCTTTGTGGAGGGAAGAGGGAGTTGTTAAGGCTCAGCAGTGGTAGTCAGAAGGTAAAACCCAGATTAGACAATTACACAGGCTTTGAATACCCTTGTGCAAGTTACTTCATTTGTTTCAATCCGTTTCCCTGGAGTAGGAAAGAAAGAATAACATTTATAATTTTTAATTTTTTTTTTTTAAAGAACTCTGAGAATGTCTCATCAAAGTAACGTGGAGGTAATTTCACAGCACTAAACTGAGATGTCTTGTTCTATGTTGGATTTCTTTTTCCTTCTTTTAGTGGAAGCTATTTGAAAATGCTTGAAGCCTCTGGAAAATTCTTGTAAATTTTCTTGAATCACTTGTTTTCTGCCAGGGATGGAGGAAAGAGGTGCATGATCCACCAGACATGAAAACCAGCCTTGTTCGGTTCCTGTGGGAACTGAGAGTTGGAAAGGTCAGGTAGGAGAATCCCTTCCCTGTGGCATTGCAGAGCAGAACTGCAGAGCAGAACCAAAGCTTTTAACTTGAGCTCGGAGTCTGTTTGCTATAACATGTATCAGATTTGTCTTGGCAAGGGCAAATGCAGCTGCCTTCCAGAGGATGTTCTGAAAATCTGCTTTTTTTTTTTTATATCTGGAAAAGAAAAGGAAATTCACAAGTCTCCTCATGATTTCTCTGTTCTGAATAGAATAAAAATTACCTTTTCCTTTCTATCTATCTGGTCTCTAGAAAGTGTCACCACAGAAGTTGCATTCTGGTGATGTAGTACTTTAAATTATGCTAGTTTCAACCTCTGTCCGGAACTTTAAATATAGATTTCTGTGAATCGGAGAAGGTTGACATCCAAACCTTATGAAATCTACTAGTATTGGTGATAGCTCTTTAATCAGTTCTAATACTCAGTGGTAATAAGAGTGAAAGAAACTGCTCTGATGGAGATCTTTCAGTGTTTTGGAGATATTTCATCTCTAGAATACTGGATATTGCACCCTAAGACTACCAAATTGTAAATACAGTCTATAGATTTGGCTTTTATTTCAAAAATAAAATTGGCAGAAGCTTGATTTTAAAATATTGTATGACAAACATCTTTTCCTACTTCAATTTTGTTTGTTTTGAGGCTGAATTTTTGTTTGTTTGTTCTCCATGGCTTAAATGAAAGTATAGGAGTCTGTACATCTACAATTGACTTGGGGGTGGTCTATGACCTTACCATCACCACAATTCTATGTAGAGCCAAAATGTTCTCATTCCTATCTTGCTTTTGAGGAAAGGTCCAAGTCAAGGAAATATTGCAGATATTAGCTTTGCATTTTTGTGGGTTAAGCCTCTTTCCTGTCAATGTGGGAAACTCCTGTTGAAGTGGTTGCACTGTCCCAGCTTAGCTTTGAGCAGAGGTTTTGAAACTGAATTTTCATCTTGAATACCCAGCAGGGTGTGCTGACCAGTTGGAGCTGAATGCACATTATGTATATTTTCTGGCTTCTCCTTTTATTATTTAAAAATATATGTTCTTTTTCCTCTGGGATCAGAGGAAATGTTTTGAAAGCTGAAACTCTTAACAAACAATCTGAAAAAAACCCAATCACCCAGGAGGAATCAGGGGGACATCAACAGAAAAACAAACCTGAAAGCAGAGGATGTTTGTCCTACCTGCTTTGTAGCCTGGTAAAAAGCATCTTTTGAAAGCAGATCCCAAATGCTTTTATTGCCATGTTGTGTGAAGTTCAGAAGCAAGATTGCCATGAGGTTGGGGGTAGCAGTCACTTAATAAAAAGGCACAGTGAGTTTTCTCAGTTGCATTTTTTGCATGGTCAATGGCTGTGATGCTGGTTTAGCTGGCAGGATGGAGCAATCTTTGACAACAAGCAAAATTGTTAATTCAAAACTAATGTTGAATCGTAAACCAAAGGTTGCAAGAGAGGATGCTGCTTGAAAGCAAATCCAGCACTACATGCAATTCTGAATTTCTTCACCTTAGTTCACAGAGTTTTGCTGTTGTCTTGAAATTGTTCCCTTTTAAAGTATTCAGGAGAAAAACCTGAGAGATTTTAACATCATGCTGACAGATGATAACCCCCTCAACAAGCTGTGTCACTGGTTATAAAGAGCTGTCATTTAA